TTTTTTTTTTTTTTTTTTTTTTTTGTTCTTTTTTGGATAAAGTTATGTGTTGGAGTGAGAAACTTGGGATTGGTTGAGATTTGAGAATGGATCTGTATATGTTTAAATTTGCATAAATGTCAATGTATTATTAAAAAAAAGTTAGTATTTTGTTAGTGGGGATCATGAAATTGATTGAAAATTTTAATTCCTAATTCCATTATTATTATTGGCATTCAAAAAAAATAAAATAAAATAAATTACCTAGCGATTTAAAATGTTAAAATATTACTATTTCGTTGACTCTCATAGTCGAGACAGACGTTTCGAGATAGGTTGATGGATATGCAGATGTTTCGTGAGAGATGGGTTGATGGGTATAGATTGATTTGTTTTGTGAGAGATAGGTCGATGGGTGTAGATTGATTTTGATATTTTTATATATAAAAAATGTCTACTTGGAATTAAGTAAGCAATTATATTTTTAAAATTTTAAATATTATTCTCTTTAAATCCAAATAAAACCTTATATTTACTATTTTTTAATATAAATAAATAAATTATCTAGCGATTTAAAATTTAAAATATTACTATTTTCAATATAAATAAATATAAGATTTTAAAATTTATAACGATTTAATCAGTTTAATAACAAGATTGTCGGGACATTAACACAAATGTAAATTATAAAGTTAAAATAAAATAAAATAAAAAAAGAAAATACTACGTGGCAATAGTTAAATTTTCCTTGAGCTAAAAAGTAAGAATGGCAACAATAAATTATCGAACCTAAAAACTTGTACATGCGCGATTGAGACGTCGTCGTTTCGATGTCCCAAGTCTTCTCTTTCCTTCTCCACATTCTGGTTATGGCGGCAACCGATCAGAAAAGGATGGTCTTAAAGACCTACAAATCAATGGCGACCGCTAAATGGATCTCTTTTGAGTGTTCGGAATCAGATCCACCGTCTGTGGTTGCGGCTGTCGTGAGCTCCTCGGAACCACTGGTCCCAGTTGACGTCCGACGGGCCGATTGTTCTGTATATTTTGAATCATTCTTCGTTGATTAGGGGAAGAAATTATCATGTAAATTGAAGATCGTAATCAATGTTAATGGTGATAATCTTACTCTGAAAGCAGAGGATCGGGAACCGATTCCACGCTCGAGACGAGTCTGTACGTAAACAGGTGAACAAATTAAGCCCTAGAGTAATGGCGACGATGATTTCGTTTTGAAAATGAGTATGAACTGAGTATATAAATGCTTTGCAATTTTTTCGTAAACCTAATAAATTGATTAATCAGCTTAGTTCTTACTCCTTGCAGACGGTGGAGGATTCGCCTACGCTCTCAAGCTGTTGCAATTCTTCCTGCATCACGATTTATCCTCGTCTTTAGTTTCAGAGTGGAAAAAATGACTGAAAACATGGAATTATTAACCGATTAAGGCAAATCTGTGAATCGAAAAACGAAATAGTGATCACCTCGATGATATTGATTTCGTTTTGGAGTCTGTTAATGGCCGCTGAGATTCTATGTCTGCCAAAGAAACTGTTCTTGCACGGAGCGGCAGATTTGGATTTAGATTTGACTTCGGCTTCGGCTTCTGAACTGACTTCTTCATCTTCTTCTCGCTTCGCCGATTTTTCTCCTCCACCTACCGGCGGTGATTGGTGGTGTTCATCCATTGTTGCAGGCAAATCAAATTCACAGAACTCAGATTCAACAACAATGGTGAGAAACTCTTGGAAATTAATATAGAGAAGGAGAAAGGGGAAAGAAACAAATGGAATCGAAGAGTTAATTTGTGTAAATGTTTGATGTGATTGGAATAATTGAAGAAGGAAGAGATGAGATTACGATGAAAAGGGAATAAAGCGGAGAGTCTCAAAAACTCGAAGAAAAGGAGTAGAGTTGTAATAAGGTATGCCTTTTTTGCCCTTTTTCTTTTCTTTCTTTATAATATTCAGATTATTTATTCAAAATATTGTTTTTAATAATAGCAAGACGTTAATTTATAAAATATTTATTTATTTATTTTTAGTTTTACCATTTAATTTTAATATATATTTTTATTTATTTAAACATATTTGAGCTTAATTTCTTTATTTTAATTTATATACTAAAGGTTTTTAGTTATATTAATCAAAATTATAAAACTATTTTTGTATATTTTAGTTTAAAATTAATAATTGAATTATGATTTTAATTTTAGGAAATTTGAAAGAATGACACAGTTAAAATACCAAAATATCCCCAACCCTCCCGCAGGTTTGGGTGTACCTAATTAGTAATTCAACTCCTTGTTCAAGGATAAATAGGTGAATTTGTACTTTTTTTTATTTTATTTTTATTTTACATTTTTGGCGGGGATAAAATGAGGATAAGCCCGTTCAATTGGGCAACTAGGGCTCAGAAGAGTGAATTCCACCATTTCCCTCCATTTTCAGAGTGTATGGTGAAACTCTCCATTTGAACTTCAAGGTGAATTTGCTGCTCCAACTATTTCATTCTCCGATCCTCTGATGCAATCTGTTAGGAAATGGCTTTTAGATCATCAATGTTGAAGCTCTCGTTGTTTTCTTCTTCTCCGTCGCAATCTTTCCGTTTACGGTATTTGATTTCCACCTGTGCTACTCCGGCGCCGAGTATTTTCCGGTGCTGTTCCATTTCTACTGCTACTGATGGTAATAAGGTAAAGAAGGCGAAGCAGAAGAAAACAAAGAACGTTAAGGCGAGTACCGCTGTTCCGAAGTCATCCGAGTCTTCGTCTTCGTCTTTGAAATTGGCTTTGGTGAAGGAGAAAAGGAGGACTCGTTCCACTAAGGAGTTTGATGAGAAAGCTGTCCAGTTCGGGGATACTGCTGCTCACATTCCGGTGATGCTTGCGGAAGTATTGGACGTGTTTTCTGCTTCTTCCGGAAGGCCGCTTCGCTCCTTTGTAGATTGCACTGTCGGTGCTGGTGGACATTCCTCTGCTGTTAGTATCTCTCTTAAGTTGCTTTCCTCCTTGTCCTCTTCATCGTTAATGATTGGTTCGTTGCATTTCTTGCTGATAGTTGCTATTCGAATGTGTTTTCTGATTGAATTTCTCGATTAGATGCTTCTCCGACTTTCTATGGAAAATTTTATGATATACTATTATTCTGATTGAATTTTTTTAGATATACTATAATTCGTATGTATCTGCAACGGGATTAGATGCTTATCCGACTTTCTATTGAGAGTGAAATCAACGAGCCGTAGAATATGTGCTACTTGAATTACTAAATTCTGTATTTATAGTCTATGTAAAGCTGCATTTGTCTATTTAATTGATCGATCTTATCTATGTGCTTCTCTACTATTTTTCCGCTTGTGAAGTTGCTGATTAACATACGTCCAGTCGTCCTGTATTGTTCCTTTGATGTTGTTGCATGAAAATTTGGATTGCTTATGGTTTTTGAGGCTTGACGCGGTGTTCATAATTGCTTCTTTCTGTGGCTATATTCGTTCTGTTTGCATTTTCTGTTTGAGTTTGAGTTTTCATTCTCACAATGTCCAATTCTGATTTCATGTCCTGAAAAAATAGATAATTCAAGCGCATCCAGAGTTGAAATTTTACATGGGAATGGACGTCGATCCCATTGCCCTTGATAAGGCTCAGGATCGGATTAGTGATCTTTTCTGCGAGGATTCTGATTTGAAAGCATATACCGTTCTGAAGAACTTCAAATATATGAAATCGCTACTGGCTGACTCAGATGAGAAACCTTTAGATCCTGGAGTTGATGGCATTTTGATGGATTTGGGCATGTCATCCATGCAGGTACGCAAGTGGACCGATATGTAAAATATTCAGCTCAGTTTTCATTAAATAGCAAGGGGGAGAATAAACCTGTATGCTAATCCATATAAGGTGCTAAATAAAATGCACCACTCAATATAATGATATAGTACGAGGGTATAGCACACCAGTCGGGAAAAGAAAACAAGGTTTCTGCTAATAGTTCTTGACAGTTATGGAACAATAGAGAAGTCGTTGTAGAATGCCACGTTACTGTTACTTATTTTTACGGTTAACATATAACAAAGCTATGTTTCCTTGATATACCTAATCACCTAATGTTAGATGTCCTATTAATTCATCTCGCAGATTCTGTCTCTCGCCTCTTTATCATGATGTCAGTTATTTGGTTTAATTGTCTGCATACAATATAATTTTTTAACAGCCTGAAATTTTGCATTTTTCCTGTCTGCTTAGGTGGATGATCCTGAAAGGGGATTTAGTGTTCTTTGCGATGGTCCTCTTGATATGCGAATGGATCCTCAGGTACAAACTAGTTCAATAAATTAGTTGCAACTTAATCGTGCATTTCTAAGACTCTATTTGATAGTTATTTTATTTTTAATTTTCTGTTTTTGAAAATTATGTTTGTTTCTTCCCATTTTTTTGGGTAAATTTTCACCTTCTATTTGAGTTCTAAGCCACATTTCAAAAATTGAATTAAAATTTTAAAAAGAATTTTTTAAAATTTTTTAAAATTTAGCTTGGTTTCTTAAAACAAGTTATAAAGCAAGAAAACTAGAGGTGAAAGTACTTGGCATAACTTTTTTACCAAAGCAACTGTCAACTATTACTTAACTTTTGCTTTTGTAGTAGCTAACCTGATTCATCCATGCTCACAATTGTTATTACAAAAAGTTAAACGACAGTACTTTATGTTGTGCATGCTATGTTTGGTGTGTGCATGAGAGGGGAGGGGCCTAAAAGTGGTGTCCTATAATAATTAACCAAAGGACACGTGTATATATATATACACACACACGATGCTAAAGAATATTTCTATAACTGTTCGTTGGACAGCCTGCCGATTACTGATTTCCTTTCGAACATGGTCCTCAGTTCTCCTTATAGCTGGGTCGGAACGGTACAATTGAAAAAATAATATATATATATATATATATATATATATATAAATAGAGAGAGAGAGAGAGAGAGAGAGAGAGAGAAACATTGCATAATTAATATATATATATAGAGAAAAGGCTCGTTCGTAGGTTTAGTGGAGACGTTATGGGTTAGTTATTTATGTCTTTTCCCCTACTGATTGAAACAGGTTTATGGCAGGCAAGTCTAAAAGCAGAGGACATATTGAACAGCTGGCCGGAAATAGAAGTGGGGCGTGTGTTGCGGGTTTATGGAGAAGAAAGTAACTGGTACTCACTCCAAAATAAAATCGTAAAAGCTCGATCACAGGGTGGATTGCATACCACCAGTGAATTAGTGGATCTTATCCGGAAATCAACCCCTGGGTTCAAAGGTGAGCACTGTTTGTATAACAATTATATAAAATGAAGGCCGAAGGGTCATTAAATCAACATATTTTACATTGTAACAGGAGGAAGGCAAGGTTGGATAAAAACAGCAACCAGAGTATTCCAAGCTCTGAGGATTGCTGTGAATGACGAACTGAAGGTATTGGAAGATGCGCTTTATAGTGCTTTCGAGTGTCTGGCTCCGGGAGGTCGACTTGCAGTGATCTCCTTCCACAGTTTGGAGGATAGGGTTGTAAAACAAACATTTCTGGACATCATTAACAACCCCAAGACGGAAGGATGGGATGAAGAAGAGGTGATTAGGGTGAATGAGGATAATAATAGGGAGGAAAAAGAAGAAGAATGGATTAAGCAAATAGTAAAAGGTTCAAAAGGTAGAATACTCACAAAAAGACCAATAACTCCATCTGAAGAGGAAGAAAGGTTGAATCGGCGATGTAGGAGCGCTAAGCTGAGAGTAATTCAGAAAAATAATGCATTTTAATGTGATTTGGTGCTCTGCTCAGCCAAGCTTTTCAGAAGGGGAGGAGGAGGTTAGTACCTTATACAAAATTCTATATCCCCCTTATTCATCATTTAATACGTTACTTATCTTCTCTGTTGTTTATTATTTCATTTCATTTCCTTCGAATTTTTATATGGAATTTTTCCTTTTGAGATATGATAGCATGATTTCTTTCGTTTCTTTAAAATATAATAGGTTTCAGCTACGAAAATACCCAACTTTAAAAAGTCTGACCTTTAAAAAACATTCAATAATAAGAAAACTATTCTCCTTTTTTTTTCTTTTTGTCTTTCTGTCTTCAAATTCTTACCCATTAAATTAAATGAGATTTTTTTATTATTATTTGTCATGTATTCATTCATAGACCATAAGTTTTTTCTTTTTCTTCTCTTTTGACACATTTCAAAAACCCTGACCATATTCATATTTAAGCTTTAGGCCTTTGCTTAATTATTGATTTTTCTGTTTTTTCACCAGTAGTTACTATTAGGCTTTCGTTTTCATTATATTCATTTTAAAGTAGGTATAATTAAGGAAAAATATTGTCGTATAGTACTATTATTGAGGTATTATCAGAAGTAGTCGCATATCAAATATTTTGATTGTAAATTTGACTGAATTTCTAATTCTTTTTAACTTTAAAATCATAGCAACAATTTGATCAAATAAACTAAACAATCTAAAGGGGGAATTTGTGATGAATTAATCTAAAGGGGGAATTTGTAGTGAGATGCTTGAAGGTTCAATAATATTTTTATGAAATTTTAGCATTTTCTATACAGAAATAATTTGATACATTTTTTAAAAGAATCAATAGTGTAATGGAGTGAATTTAATTTTCAAGATACTTGGAAATGAATTGAATAAGAAACTTTAAAAAAACCCATGACGAAAACGTAAAATATAAACTTCCATTCATCGTTATTCTAATATAATAATAAATAATATAGCCAGTCTAAAATTCTATTTAATATAAAAATATATCCCTCGAGTTTATAGGCCAACCCAATACGAACGGCCGTTGACGTTATGTAGCGGGGACTGGCTGGGAGATGTCACACACCACTCGTACCAGACCTGAGTTGCACATTTTGCTACGTTAAGAACTATAATTAATTAATTTTTAAGATTATAATTATAAGAAATCACCCATCCCAAGTCCTCACCTTGCTAGGATTACAACAACGCCAGAAATGGACTTGTACGGAAGAACCCGGCCGCACGCATATTGGAGTCCTTAATGGGAAGAATATTGCGAACCTGAGGTGTGAAAAAACTTGAGCTTTAGCTTTACAATAATAATATAAAGTGAAGAATAGTTAGAGAGCAAAAATAATAATAAGTGAGCATACATACCAACTGAACATATTTGGCGTGGCTGTGGATGGTTCAGTGCCCAGATGAACATCACCGTATAACGTTGCATCAAAATAACCACCAAAACCTTCACAAAAAAAGTTCACAGTTTTTAAATGAATTCCCCAGTTACTAATCAATTTGTTTCCAAAATGCAGAATACAGAGAGAACAAGCAAATACCATGTATTATGGCTGCACCAGTGTCGTTCGGTATCTCAAATACCAGCTTCTTATACCGTTCATTGCTTCCCTCCAATATTTTATTCGGGTGAGTAAAGGTAAAGACCTATTATTATACACAATAATATTTAGATCTACATAATAATACTTAACATACCAAAAAATTTATAATAAAAAAAAAAAAAAAAAAAAAAAAAAAAAAAACCCTTACAGGCTGAGGAGGAGATAGTCTTGCTACGTTGTGCAGTTTGACAACGTAGGCAGTTTCAAAGTGGACCACATCTTTATGTGCCTTCACCTGTGCACCATTATTTATCATCACATTAATAATAATTTAATATAATAAATAACACTAGTATGAAATTTAAATAATTAAAGCCTTGACTTGACGACGTACATCATTGTATAGCTTGGAGGCAGTAATTGGTTGGAGGAAACTCGTGTACCTGACACAGTCCCCCATTAAACTTTCTCTATGATATCATAAGAACAAAAAAATAAAAAAACGACTTAGAAATATCTCACTTACGAAGAAGGTATTGAAATGCCATCTTCTTTTAAGAATCGCTGGGCCCCATCAAGACATTCAGGAGATAGTTCGTTGTCACCAAAAGAACCCAGCAGCTCACTCACCTATAAAAAAAAAAGTTAATAAAAATAACATGGAGGAAGTCAAGAAAATATATTAATTAATAAAATAAAAGATATATTTGCGTACCAAAATATCAGCCGTCTCTGAAGCTTCCCAGGAACGCATGTCGCAGGAAATTATGGTAACAATTTTTTCCCAGCCCTCCATTCTAACCAAACACTGAAAATCAAATCAATAAACACCACCGTCATTTTCCCAGCAGCATATTCCAAGACTACTTACTAACTGAAGCTATAATTGTTAGTCTAATGAATGCAAGATTTCGATTATAAAGGGACATTTCATTCAACCAGAACGAGACGTTCGAAGTTCAGAAGAGCAAGCAAACACGTGACTACGAGTGAAGGAACAGAGCAAGTAAGTAGTAGAGTGCTCACATTAAGAGTTACAACTGCATTAGGATTTTTCTCCACAGCATAGACTTTCAGTTTGCGGTCTGTTTCTTCTGCTGCCTACAAACTAGCCATTGTTTAACAGAAGAAACAAGAAAATTAAAGGCAACCAATTCTTCAAGTAAGGAAAGGAACCTGCAATGCTGCCCGAACCAGAGGACCACGACCTGCGCCTACGACCATCAATACCTATCCGCAGAAATCGAATGGTAAGGCCAAATCAAATTATGAAAAACAAAAAAGTTGGAAGCTACTTACTGTTGTTACTGAAGACGCCTTATCATCTGGGACCCTATCTTTCAAAGCTTTAGCAATTGCACGTTGGTACTAACAAAATTTAAGCAAAGGAGTTATGACAATACAAAATAATAACACTTGATAACTGCTATCTATCATTGACCAAATGTTTTTGAAATGGAAAATCACCAATTATAACCTTAATAAGTACACATTTAGTAAGATAGACATCAAACAGCACTAATTAGCCACAACCATTATATCAAGGTAACGTGAAGCGTTCTATGCCTACACATATATACAAACAAATTATAAATAAAATATGCAAAAAAAAGTCTCGATGAGAGAAATATTAAATGAAGCAAATCGATTATCCAAATTTGAACATCATTACAATCTTTTTAAAAAGGATTAGATAAATCGCTTAAATCATGACTTGATAAGATTGGAGTCCTCTAATGAGGGAAAACAAGAAATCAAAGAGTAGCATAAAAAAGAAGTCACGAATGGCTAAGATTGTATGAACTACGCACAATCTGATAAATTGAAAACTAGTTACAAAAAAGAAGAAAATTACTTTGGAGCAATACCTGAATGTATTTGACTGCGTCTTTCTCAAAAGTTTCATAAGTTTGAGATTCTAGATTATCCATAAGAGGCTGAAATAAAAACAGTGAAATGTTTATGACAAATTAATGGTCCATTAAAAATTAAATGTCAACAAAAACAAGTTATGACGCTAACAAAACTTACTTGCAGAGGGGCCTGTAAGAAGTCCCTGTATCCAAGCTGAAACGAGAGGGTGTCAAAGGAAAGAAGTTAATTGGAATGTGAATGTACAATTTACAAATATATGGAGATTGTTTGTAAGGGTGAGTATCCATTTATGCATGTAAGAGAGAAACAGGGTACTGAGAAAGAGTAAATAGAGGCTACCTCAATTCGTTCTTGCTCAGGGAGTGGGTCCATTCTCTGGTAAAGAAAAGCAACATAATCTAAATAGCACCTCAAGGGATGAGACTGAACACCTAAACATTAGAAAACAAACCAAACTATCAAACCATGGGCCACGATTCGACAACCATTTATCTTCTGCTTGGTGAAAGAGAAATTTTAGGCAAAAAAAAGACATGCGCAAATCAACATGTGGATACCATCAGAAGGACTTTTGTTGAGACCAGTAGGTGAATCTGTACCACCCCTTGAAACGTTGTGCAATGCCTTCCCGGATAAAACTACCTGAAGGGGACAGATGGATCAAGATTAGTTAACTGACTAGGTAGCCAAAATGGGTTTTTCAAAATCTAATATCCCTGAAAAGATGCTACATCGGTGTTCATTAAAAAGCAAGTAGAAGTTCTTGAAAAACTAAATGAAATGAAATCAGATAGTGTAATGGTGGAAGAGATTGAAGATACCTGAATGGAATGGTTGAAAAATCCAGTAATCAACTTCTGGTGCCGCTTCGACAGACATGGATAACCCCGTGAATTAGTCAAGAAACACTGAAAATAATTTAAGTGCCTTAGTCAGTATCCAGGCGATCAAAGATATCTGTCTAATCATAAGAAAATATCGATATAGTTACATCAGTGCTAATAAGGGCTGCTCTGACAGACTCCCCAAACCATCGTCCAAGCGAGTTTGGTGACGGCAACGTACTCCTAATGAACAAAAAATACCAATTTCATCATTATAACATAAATGACAACTCAAGTATGCAAAACAGACCACCACAAAGTTGAGCACTCACAAAATGTCGAGTGCAACTGATAACTGACTGTGGTGCTCGCAAAGCAGACGAAATGAGTTCCACAAATCCCAAGAATCAACCTGCAGAATAATGATTGATATTAGCAATATTGATACAAACATAAACACTCGAGCATGAAAGGAATTCAAAAAAAAAATCTGCCTGAAAGTTGAGAATTGTTGTGCATGATATTTTGTCATGGAAATAATTGACGCCGATAATTTTGCCCTCTAATCAATAACTTGTAAGAAAATACAGGTATCAATGATTTTGTGCTCAACCCTACTCAGAATCTCCAAGCAGAGAACCCAATAAGTATGAACTTAAATCTCCTTCCCATAAAGATGGGCAGCAAGAGAAAGATGCAAGCATAATTCAAAGATGCTTTACTTACCAAATGTTCAGATTTGGCATCCGTAGAATCATCATCAACCTTCACCAGAGGTATCCTGAGCCACAACTTTAGAAAAATATCAAAATTAGAACAGTTTAAAACCCTTGGTAAAACTTACATAAGTATGAAAAGTATTGATCATTTAATGATAAGTAAGAGAGGCACCTGCATGTTATTAAGGCCCTGCAAAATCTGATGAACACACCTAGCATAATTCGCATATGATGTTCCCTTAGGTGCTGGAAGAAGGCATGCCTGCAGTAAATCAGCTCTTTACTGTTTAGATGGATGTTCAATTATTTTTAATGCACCTCCAGCATTGAGAAATTAGAAGAGTAAAAAACCATGAAATTCTTTAAAAGTTGAGATATTTAAAAAGGCAAGGAGAGCAAGAGAATGCTTTGCATATACTTCGAAAGATAAAAACAAAAGCACAAGGACACGTGGTTGTCTATAATTTCATTTTGGTCCAAACTTTTCTGTAAAACTGCAATTGGACTGCCAAACTAGAACATTATGCACCTGCAGAGAGAGATGAGAAGCCCAAGCAATCTCTTGCTTTAGAGTTGTCTCAGAATCAATTCGTAAAATCTCATCTTCAGAATCTAAGTCAATCCAAGAACTAATTTTTCCTGGGACATCAAAAAAGAAAATAAAATATTTCAGTGCACACCAATGCTATTCTACAATAAAGTTAATAAACCAAAATGTTATTAAACAAACGAATAATAATTTTTCAAAAGATAATACCAACAACGTGGCTGCTCCACTGTGCAGGGCTTAAAATCAAGTCTGATCCAGCAAATGGGAGAACGGCAGAGCAACCATTCTCTTTTTGCACCAAGCTTGGTCGATAGGATGGATTCATCTGAAGCAAGATTTAACCAAATACCACTTTATGGAAGTTAAGCAATCAAAATATCCTCAAAAATGTTAATCATAATCCATACATAAAAGTGACCAATCATCCCAACAATTTGTTAAAAACTAATCATCAAAATGTATGTAACAGTCCAAGGACGAAAATTGCATGGTTTATTTTCACCGCACGGACCATTAATAAATATTGTTTTAGGTGAGCTTACTGACCATTCACACAAAATAGACAGCTACGAGCTGGTGTGTGACTAGCTAATTGGCCACCGCAAGTACTAAAAAGAATGAGAATCAATACAAACTACATTGACGGATGGATCGTTTTCTAATAGATCTAACAGTAAACAGAAAAATCTAAATATCTACGACCTAAGGTTTGAAACTTAATCAAAATGTTTCAAAATTTAACTAGCTATATCTTTACAGTAAATAGAGTAGATATATATACATATAGCCTCAAATACGAAAATAACTGGCTATATCTTTACAGTAAATAGAGTAGATATATATACATATAGCCTCAAATCTGAAAATAACTGGCTATCCTCTTACGAAATATATAAAATATCTTATCCTACTTACATTATTGAACCAGATTATTATTGTATGCATAGCAAAACACTTCGACATGGTTTGAGACATGTACTTTGACAGCCTTGGAGTGAAACTACACAATCTACCTTCACCGAGGCGGCTGTCAAACGGCATTGCTTTAGGTGAGCTTACTGACCATTCACACAGAACATACAGCTACTTAGCCGATGTGTGACTGGCTAATTAGCCACCGAAATAACGAAAAGAACGTAAATCCAACAATCGTAATCCGTTCGCTTCCAAGCAAACAGACAGAGAATGCACAAAGAACGCTCTTCTAAGCTACAGAGAGAGGAATGTGCACTGCGTGCAAACACATTCACATACGAAAGAAAACAATCATCAAACGCCATTTCTCGATCGGTTAAGGTCTAAACATCATTTTCAGCAGTAAATATCAAAAGGAGAAATGCAAGAATGCTAACCAGAGGTGCAACGACGAAATCAAATCCACCAGAGGATAGATTTGAGATTAAGAGCTGAGGCACATCGTCATCAAATTCAGTCTCGACACCGCAATAACGAGACTCGGTCTTATCGCCTGCTCTATCTCCAAGCGGCATTTTCGTTGAGCAGCGGCTTCTTCGATCGAAGCCGAAACTGAGAGACCGAGAAACAGAAGAACAGAGAGAGAGAGAGAGAGAGAGAGAGAGAGAGAGAGAGGGAGGGAGTAGAGAGAGAGGGGGTTTTGATAGGGTTTTTAATGGAAGTTGACTGAACCAGGACTTAAAAAGAAGGATTTGTGAATTGAAATCAAAAGCTAGGGCTTTGTTGAGAGTAAGGCCCAATGATTCGTGAATATTCATGGAACCCGCGAAACGACATGTCGACCTCTGGAACCTTTTTTTTTTATTTATTTAAAAAAACGCATTTCGTTCTCACTTGTGTTGTCGGCTGATGGGATGGGATTCGCCTTCAGGTTACTTGGTTAAAAAAGGACTTTTAGTCTTAAGAATTTTTTTTTAAATTAATAGTTTTTATTATTTTAAAGCCATTTTGTTTTTCGTTTTTTATTTTTAAAATTTGTTTTTTAGTCTGGATTTTTTTTTTTTTTTTTTTTTTTTTAAGAATAAACACATAGAAAGTTTTTTAAAATTATATATTTCTTTTTAATTTAGTTTAAAAAAACAACACTAAAAACGAAAAACAAAATTATAAAAATATATATTACACGTGCCAATGGTATTTATAAAATTAATAATACAACATTTAACACGCATTAGTCATTTAGATTGATGAAGTAACCATTAATGCAAAAACATTCCATTGAAAAGCAATATTGGTGTTTTTAATCCTCTAATCTACTGATAAAATATATTGCTTGATCCATCTACCGACTTACCAAAATTTGTATGAAATGTATGTAAGAAGCTTTTACTACAAATCCATTGATCCATATTTTTTCCTATTTTTTAAATACTCGAGCATGCACGAGATTGAGATTGAAGGTAATCTTTCTAAATTCACAAAAATCAGAATAATTTTACATATCGACCTATGATATTTGTAAGGAGTACAAATGTTTATTGTATTAATTTATATGTCAATGTTTTATTCGATGAACTGGAACATAAATCTCAAATATAAGTTACCTTGGTAAGTTGTTGATAACTCCTCCCTTGAAAGCTGGTACCATTTGAATTCATGTTTTTAAACTATAACAAATCTTTGTAAACAATGGTTAAAAAACGTATATAATATATTATATTACATAAAATACTATATTTTCATTCTCTGAATCACAAAATTCGAAAAATAGTTTAAAACAACGCGTCTACAAAGTACATATTCACCGATCTAAGTGAATTTGTAAATACAAGATCGAATTCAAACTACCCATCAAACATGTCCTAAGACACTATATATGTATCTAAAAGTCGAATGTTCGAATATCTGCTTCATCCAATTGAAAAAAGACGCAAAAATGCCGAGACCAAGCCTAACTAAACCGAGAAAGTTGAGCACTAGAATTGTAACTAAGGTTGACCTAAGTGCACCATTAGGATGGATTAAGAGCCTGCAACTTTAAGTTAAAGAAGATGAGTATATTCTAATCAATGGATGGTTTAAACGACTCCACAAGGATTAATCCAACAGTAAAATTCCAAAGAAGAATACCATACTCACGGATAAATCCCTGCCTAATAACAACTAAAAACCCATAGTAAAGAGACAAAATTTATTATTCTCACCAAAAAGAGGAGCTTCATGCACTGCTCTTGAGAGCTTGAGCATTGCTTTCTTCTTCTTCTATTTCATTAAAGTAGTCTTCTCGTGCATTACCAGCCAACATCAGAGCAACCAGCCAAAAGAGGCATGAATCCAGGGATAGAAATGCACCGCCACCTAGAAGACCGGTCTTAGCGGTCGGGCACTTTGTCACATCATTGTGATGAATGTTACGCGTCAAGTGAAGTTGCTCCGTGACCGTGGGCCATACGAGCAAAGCAATAGCTAACCCAGTTGTGAATCTGCAAAATAGAGAGGGTGCTTCAATATGTGCTACACTTTAATGCCTTGTAGAAGCTACACGAATGAAATCATAACAAGCATAGACCCCTCTACAAGAAATGTTTCGAAAAAAGGTAATGATTTGTGATGTGTAAACTGTTCCTAGCCGACAAAAGAAAATACTATGATATCCAATTGTTGTAGCAGAAGTGGAAGTGGAAGCAAGATTGATCGCACTCATGTACCCACAAACAGAAATTAAACAAAGAGACACAAAGATTTACGTTGCTCAAAGAGAAAAAATTCCCCTACATTTACGGGTGGTAGCTAAAGATGCAGAATTGTCATGTACTATAATGTATTGGGGCATCGTTTTGTAACATCATTCATTCGAATAAATAATACAAAGCTAAAATGATTTAGTTAACAGTCAGAGAAAGGGAAGTGCCTCCAAAAGAAAACTTACTGAGCAACGTTGAAGAACACAGAGAAACTACCATTCTTAAACATCGCTCCTCGAGGAACCGATTTTCCTTGGTAAGGATAGAACAGAGAGGTGTATCCCGCAATGGAAGAAGCCAGAAGAAACAGAAAAGATAGAAATCCCAAGGCAACCGTCGGGTCGCCTGGATATTTACAGATAACAAGGCCTTTGCCTGGGATGAGAGTTCCAGATGCAGGCTGCTCAAATCCATGAAAAGACAGGAAAAGAAGTTAGTGACCATTAAACCACTGACTACCATATCCACAGCCAACATAGATTTCATATAACTGCTCCCACACATAGACGACGAGGGATTATGTAACGACCCAAGCTCACCACTAGTAATATGTCCTATTTGGGCTTTTCCTTTCAAGCTTCTCAAAGTTTTTAAAACGTCTAGTAGGGAGAGGTTTCCACACCTTTATAAAGAATGTTTCAATCTCCTATCCAACCGACGTGGGATCTCATAGACTAATTCAATCAATATTGAATAGATATGTATATTATAAAGCGAATAACTGCCAAAGCGGTATGCTTGTTTACAAAGATTACCGATGCTTACCTTCTTGTTTTCGGCAACGATTCCAAATATAAAGGATATTACACCCAAAGTTCCAACAGTAAGAGACATCAATTTAACAGAAACAGCCATTATTCTCCAGATAATTGATAACAGTGAGACCTATACAGGGAATAAAATGAGATCTCAGAAGTGATGATCCAAACATAAATTATACCACAAGGAATGGTCTAATGTTGGGAAAGGATGTAGAACTATTAAAACGAGTTATGATTGCAAAAGGTGTTCATCTTTTCTAATCATATTCATACGTTCCAACAGATTCTACTCTCCAAACTACGAAGGAGTTTATACAACAACAAGAAGATCCAATCGCTTCCTCTCTAATCAAACAACATTAAAAATTTCAACGCTTAAATCAACAAACAGAGTGTAAAATCCATCAAAACGTTCCAAACTTATCGATCGCTATTACGCAAATCCTTACAGAAACATCTTTGCGTCACCAAAAGAAAAAGGATTCATCGAGTTAATTTAACAACAAATACTGTATCCTTAGGAGAATCGCGACACCTAAAAGCAAACAAAATCGAATGATCCAATAATCCAATGAAATCTTCGAATATACTCATCGCAAACAGTAGAAATGTGTATTTAACTTCAACGCATAAATCAGGATCATACAACCAAACAAACACTGAACAATCTTAAAAACCTGAAGCATGAACTACTTCTACGGAAAATCTGAACTGGAAATTATCCGGGGGAAAGAAAATGCAAGCAAACCTGAAGGCAGAACGAAGAGCTTTATTCCGGAGTTAAGGCGAAACTGAAGAGCGGAGTGGATACTACAATATTTATAGTTTGAACAAAATAAAAATAAAAATAAAATAAAATAAAAATAGTCGAATATTTATAATGCTATTTGTGTGGTGATTGTTCTTTTAATCAATCCAAATATAGTGGCGGAATCAAACAGCTTCTCCAAATTAGAAACTTTTAAGGAAAATTATTGAATTTATTTATTTAAAATTCTGAGTTAATTTAGAAGTCAACTTGGAAAATGACACCAATAAATTCGGATTCAAAAGTCAAGGGGAATGAAAATGACACGTTTATTAAATAAATAATTATTCTTAAAATTTTCACCTAACGCGTGTATTTATATTCTTTATTCAATAATAATTTTAATTTTATAATTTCATTAAATTACATCTCCAACTCAAATAATTTTTTTTTAATTTTAAATTTTAATTCGTAAAAATATATTTTAATTTTTATTATTTGATAATTCAAAAAAATAAGCCATTGTAGCTAATTTTGGATTATTCATATGAAATAGATGGCAAGAACTTAATAATCTTACTGTCAATAATAATAATAATAACAACTCACAATATTATAAGTTGAATATGAAATACACTACGAGAAACGTTCTAACTATACGAATCTGTATTCACATACAAGTCCTTGCTTTAATAGTTAATGACAAGTAAAAAGTGAGACTGAATTATTATTATTACCGAGTAAAGAAGTTTCATGCGCTCGTTTGAAGAGCTTGAGCACTGGTTCCATTTTCTTCTATTTCATCAAAGTAGTCTTCTCGAGCATTTCCAGCTAACATCAGGGCAACCAACCAAAAGAGGGATGAATCAAGGGAGAGAAATGCACCACCACCCAAAAGACCTGTCTTAGCAGTTGGGCATGCTGTTTCGAGATCGTAATGAACGTTGCGAGACAAGTGAAGTTGCTCGGTGAGCGTAGGCCAGGCGAGCAAAGTCATAGCTAATCCGGTTGTGAACCTGCAAATAGAGAGGGTGCATCAAAATCTATATGATCTTGTTTTATTATATCCTACTAAAAAATCCACCTAAATGTACGTTAATTGAGAATATCAAGGGCTAGTTTGATAACAAAATAAAAATAAGAATTATGGTTTTTACTTCCTTGAATTATGGGAAATTATTGAAAAGATCAAATTACTTCCGGGGCTATTAAAAAAGTGAACGTCATTGCAGTCTAAATATTGTCATCGTGAGGCTTTCCCTTTCGAGTTTCCCCTCAAGTTTTTTAAAAAACGTATGCCGGGAGAAGTTTCCACGCCCGATAATGTTTCGTTCTCTTCCCCAACCACCGTGGGATCTCACAATAAGTATACAAATAAAGATTCAAAGGATTGTTCATAACAAATACGGATATGGATAACATCATAATCTCTAAACTAAAAAGCATGCAAGAAATCTTGATTCATAAGCTTACCCATCCACAGGAAATCATAATAAAATAAGTAATGATTTGTGATGTGTAATTAAGAGAAAGGCAGAATTTTCCTGAAACTATAATGTTCAAACCATAATGAAAATGAATACTACAAAGTTAATATTTTTAGTGCATTGGAAAGAGAACTTACAGAGCAATGTTGAAGAAAATAGAGAAACTGCTGTTCTTAAACAAGGCACCTCGAGGAACGGATTTTCCATAGTAAGGATAGAACAGAGAGAAGTATCCTGCACTTGAAGAAGCAAGAAGAAATGCAACGGAAAGATATCCTAAGACGACAGTTGGGTCGCTCGGGTATTGACAGATAACAAGGCCTTTGCCTGGGATGGGAGTTCCAGATGCAGGCTGTTCAAATTCAAGAAGTGACCATTAATTCATACTCGATCTCATAGATACATATAGAATTATGTGGAAAGCCGTATGAAAAAATCTTGAGATATAGGAGCGTATTAACTTAAATGATATTGAATACGGTGGGATCAAGTATGGCTCAGTAAAATAGCAAAGGACATCAACAAGCTATTCAGATGACAAAGGGAAAGCATCATAAGTTCAACATACAAAATTAAACACCAATATGCCCCCGAAATTGCAACATACAGTTGATGCACATTAAGCATGTAACGATATCTTATATTAAAACTTACATCTACAGCCTACAATATATAAGTCTGTAATCAATCCAAGGTCCAAGGAAGATGCAGAGTATCTAGGATATACAAAAGATAAACAATTCAACCAGAGTTCAATCGGTATCTTAATTCTTGCTGTTTAATATTTCAATTTCAAATGAACAAACATCTTCGATGCCAATATGATATGCTTGTTTATGAAGATTGCAGATGCTTACCTTCTTGTTCTCAGCAACGACTCCAAATAGGAAGGATATCACGCCCAAACAAGCGACAATAAGAGACATCACCTTGACAGACACGGCCATTGTTCTTCGGATTAAATGTTACCGTCAACTGGGGAACAAAACCAGTTTTCAGAAATCAAAAAGGAAGACAGAATGATAAAACACAATAGGAATGAGCTAATGCTGATGAAAAAATGGTAGAACTAATAGAATAAGTGATGATTGCAAAAGGAAGAACACAACTTTTTTCTTCTACAGAATATAAAATTTCTAAATTCTTAATGTATGTCAAATACGCAAGATAACGTTATTTTAAATTGAGAAATACAGCCTCCTCAATCGCTTCTCCTCTAATCACGTGATCTAACAGATTATACACTCCAAAGAAGGTCAATGATACAATAATAAGGTAGAACAAAGGAAAATACTGTACATGAAAACTAATAGCTCGATCCCTGAGCCCTAAGACAGACTGAATGAAGATTTTAAAGTGTGTAAGAAACAACAAAAGTTCCAAATTTAGCTCAATTACGGTAATCTCAAGAGAAACGAACTCGAGATCTCTTCTGACTAAAAAAAGAAGTATCGAACAAATTCATTTAACAACATAACAGGAAAAAAGAAAAGGATCAAACACACCGAGGAACAATCGCAAGACAAAAACAATCGAATAATCGAATAAACAAATGAAGAACTTCCCTGTACATTCTCTAAACAGTAGAACAACAGAAAACCAGCTCCAGCACAGATATCATAATCATACCTAAAAACATAAACATAATCTTAAAAAAACCTAAAACAAGAAACTCTTGTTCGATTTCTACCGCAAAACAAAATCCAATAGCCAAAACTCGCAGCAACAGCGAGATAAACAACGACTATTCACCAATAACAGCAAGATCAACAACAACTATTCACCAAGAACAGCGATTAAATTAAAGAGACAACGCAAGCAAACCTGTAGAATCGAATGAGGAAGCGAGAGTAGCAAAAGAACAATAAAGTCGCTTTCGTTCCCGTTCCCTGATCCACTCCGGATTTCAGGCGAAGGCAGACGGAAGAGATAAGTCAAATGTTCCCATATATATATAGTGTTCTTTATCGTCCCATGCTTACACTGGAGTGAGGAGTCCATGATCTCGGTGGCCGAATTAAATTTTCAAATTAAACAAAATTTTAATTATTATTTTTTGGTTTAATTAGAAATTATGCAGATAATCCAGAAGGGAAATGATTCGTTTAAAGAAGGCTGAGTTGGCGCCAGCTGGCATTTTCCTTTTATACGGGTTAATTTCAAACCGTAATTAATAGCCAAGCAAGAAAAGTATTGTTTCCGAAAAAAAAATATATGAAAAGGAAAAATACAAAACGCACCGTTTAACACGTGATCGTATTTGAGGTGGAAGGTTAATTGTGATGGTGTAGAAAAACAGCTTAATAATAAATAATTAATTAGCTAAATTAATAAAAATCTTTTTATTTTGCATTTTTTTTTAAATAATATCTTTAAAACTTAAAAAAAAATCTCAAAAGTTTACTTTAACTTAAAATAAAATTAAAAAAAATACGATTGTTCTAGTTGAAAACTATTAATATTTTATTTAAAATTTTTTGATAAATAGATAAATTTATTAAATTAGTTTATTTGAAGATAATTTTTAAGACGATAGTTCAATAAATAAACTTAAAAGTTTAAAAAATATTATTCTTAATATATTTATTAATCAATAAAAATTGATTAATTAAAATTATTTTAACAATTTAACTTAATAAAAATACTAACCATACTTAGTTACCTAAAATTAACCAATTAAATAATGTAATAAAAATTGTTAAAAATAATTATGGAAAAGAAATAATATATTATTATATTATATTTTTTAATCTGAGAAGATTTAGAGTAAGCTTCTGGTTCGGTGGGTATTTATTGAGTTCAACGTGTAAACGAGTCTAGTTGCAAGTTCAGGCGGCAAAGGTCGGGCCGACGGCAGCCATGGCGGGTCCTCCCAGTCTCAGTGGCCCCATTAAGATGAAATTCGCCATCGGAAGAAGCTCCGGAAGAGGTGCAGCAGGTCTACGCCACAAACTGAGTAGATTGACTCAGTCGGTCAGCTTTGAAATTGAAGTTTCAATCGTCGGTAGATATATTAGGTCTTCTTTTGTCCATTAATTACACAGATTATTCATGTTGTCCGTCCCTGTCTTGGTTTGAAATCATTGAATGAGATGTGGAAATATTGGCGAGAAATCCGAGCTTTAAATTTCTGTAGGATTTGACTTGTGAACAGCGACTGTGACGGGATAAGCCATGGCCTTGGGAATGGATCTTCTTCGAAATGTCGTTCCCCTTTTATTACTTTATCTAAGAAAAATACTCTCGAATTGTAGGAGATGGTAAGGCGAAAGAAGAAAAACATAGGAGGAAGAAGCTGCTGTACATGAACAAGATTTAACATTCATCTGATTTTACTACCAAGTAAGTGTAACTCTCTTGATAGCCAACCGAATTTCTTTGAGCAATATGACTGGATTTGTTTGCTTTCACTGTAATGGCTTTGTTTTTCTTCACAAAATTTGATCAAATTAGTTGTTGTTTGCGGCATAACGTTCAGTTGATCAACAATTCAAATTGATGAGTAAGAAAATCAGTGAGGAGTTGTGATCGGAATGGAATACTGAAGAATCAGTGGGAGAGATTTAATCCTTTAGTTTCTGGTTCCTTTCAGATAGGTATGTTAAGAGCCAACAAACTTTAGAACAATTAGTGGGAGAGATCTGATTGTTGATTGCACGTAGAAAAAGAGATTAATGTTTGTTCAGATAAGAGAGATGTTCAAGCATAGGTTGATGTTTTGCATTTCAGCTAGCAGTATTCAGTTTGCAGATACCAGATATTTTCCTCTGTATTTATTCGATCTGATTGTTGATTGCGCATTTGGAAGAATGGAAACATTAGTCTTCATACCTCCAATAATTTGAAACAAATATGAACACGAAGAACTGCAGATGTCCAATAGTTTGTTGTCCTATTCTGGTTTGTGGTTAATTTTGTTGTCAAATGTTTTTGTGTCGTAAGGTAACGATCAACTTGTCTCCTCATAATGTCGTCGGTCGTTTACTCACCAGATACAAATAGCAGCAGCAATTCTAGCACAACTGCTACCTGTGAGTACCCCTTATCACTGTTTTTTGTGAAAATATACGAAACATTATACTTGACACGAGTTAGACTTCTATTCATCACCACCTTAAACAAAAACATTGGCTTGCAGCTGTAGTAGTGACCTTGGTGATTTTTATTGTCATTGGTGCAATCTCTTGCTGCTTTGCTAGGAAAGCTAAGCAATGTATTGTCACAGAGTTGCGAAATGCAGTTGCTTCATCTGCATCAAATGTGGCACATTCAACTGCCCCAAATGCAGTTCCGGTTTGGGAAATCGATCAACCGACAATGGAAAAGTTCATCAAAGAAATGGCGGAACAGAGGCCTATAAGGTTCACTGCTCACCAACTATACTATTTCACAGGCAATTATTCGACACCACTCGGTGCAGGAGGATTCGGTACGGTCTATAAAGGAGAGTTCCCAAATGGAGTGAAGATTGCAGTGAAGGTTTTGAAGAGGAACTCGGAAAAGCAGGCGGAGGAGCAATTTATGAACGAGGTAGGAACGATCGGGAAAACTTACCATATAAACTTGGTTAGGCTTAATGGGTTTTGTTATGACCAATATATGTGTGCACTGGTATTTGAGTACATGGAAAATCGATCTCTGGATAAGTATTTGTTTGCCAAAAATGAAGAACTTGATTGGGGGAAGTTACATGATGTAGCCATTGGGACTGCTAAAGGTCTTGCTTACTTGCATGAGGAATGCCAACAGAAAATCATCCATTACGACATAAAGCCTGCAAACATTCTGTTGGATGAAAACTTCACTCCCAAAGTTGGTGATTTTGGCCTTGCCAAGCTTTGCAACCGGGACAGCACACATACGTCGCTCACTGGCTATCGTGGCACGCCTGGATATTCAGCACCGGAGTTCTTACTAAAGAACTATCCAATAACCCACAAGTGCGACGTGTATAGCTTCGGAATGGTGTTGTTTGAGATCGTTGGAAGAAAAAGGAATGGGGGTGTTACTGATTCTGGGAACCCGGATTGGTTTCCACAACATGTGTGGGAGGCTCAGGAAAAGGGTGAATTAGTTGAATTTGTTAGAAGATGTGGGTATGCTGAAGATGATAAAGAGGGAGTGATTCGGATGTGCGAGGTGGCTCTGTGGTGCATTCAAGACTGCCCCGACGAACGACCACCGATGAGTGCGGTGGTGAAGATGCTTGAAGGAGGTGTAGAAATAGTGCCACCATCAAAGCCATTTCTGTACTTGGATCCAACTCCAAAAAGGAACAGTAGAGGATCGAATCTACAAGAAATAAGCAGCAGTTCAGATTATTCAACCTCAAATGAAGACAGTGCCTCATATTGGTACAAGAAGACTACTCCAATAATGAAGAAGTACGAAATACAGATCGCAAGTTCTTAGAAGAAGCTTTCGTTTTCGCCATGGAAAAAGGTACTTCATTTTGCTTATTATGCATTATTAGAAGTGTTTATAGTAGGGCACTATAGTGTATTATATTCTATTCTAGACGGAGGGACGTGTTTTATTCGATAAGTTATGCTTGGATCGACGGGTGTGTTCATAAGAATGATTTTCGTAATAGAATTTTAATAAAATATGGAAGTGATAAAGCTTGGATTTCATGACACGAGGATGTTTATTAATCCGCTACATAGCAATTTTAGTTTTGGTTAGGTAACTGGATTTTTTTTAATTGTGATTGTTGTTTTATCATTTGAATTAGCAAATTTTAAAATATGAATTCAATTTTAAGAATATTTGTAAAAAAAAAAAAAAACAAAACATCCAATTTGATTAGTGGAAATATTGTTGGTAAGCATAATTTGACATCCTAAATTTTTCATTTAACAATCATTTTTATTAGGTTCATATAATTTGTTAATTCGACCAATCTGTCTATTTAACTTAACCATAAAAATTGGGTTGAGTTAGAGTTTTTTCCGTTTAAGTTTGGTTCAATTTTTTAAAAATCGAAAATTTGGTTCGATTTATAGGTTGATATTTTTTTTTTTTTGTCTAGTCAACTCAACCCGTCCGAAAAGTAAGGTTACAATCCCTCTCGATCTTATTTTTAAAAAAATTAAGAATATTTAACCTTTGTAATTGATGATATATTTTAAATTTTGTGAAACTTTAATTATTAATTTAACTTTTTTTTCACCAAATCAATTGAAATTTGAGATTTATAAAAAAAAAAAAAAAATCAATTTAACTTAAATTAGTGTAAATTCTTAATTTTTTTTTATGAATTGATTTTGTTTTAATAATTATTTTATTTATAAATCAATAAAAAAAAATAAAAAATCAAAGGAACCCACATCATCCTTAATTCAGCTCGTGACTCTGCGAAGCTGTCTGTATCTCATTGACTTTTTCCAATTTTAATATTTTAGTTTAAAATTTCTCTCTCCTCGTCATTTATTACATTAATTACATTATGTCGACCTTGACCCATAGTCTTCGAAAAATATGCATTATTATTATGATTATTTTAAATTTTAAATTCCTTTTCCTATTAATTATATTATCCCTTCAATGTTCTAATCCTATTTGATATTATTCATTTTAGAAATTTATTGAGTCAAATAAATTAAAATAATTAAGTCAAATATCTTCAACGTTAAAATCTCATATCTAAATATTCATATCGCTGAGAGCAACACTAAATTACTACCGGCTTTTCATAAATATTTTTAAAATATCATTAACATAGAAGTACGTTAAATTGTTGATAATGACTAGGACGTGAAACAAGCGACATTCAAATAGATTTACCTTTTAGTTTAACATTATAACCGTTTGTTTTTATTTTTTAAGAATGTTTTAAAAATGTTTATCAAATATTAATGTTGGGTTTCCATCTCGAGCCGGCCACTTTTTTAAGATTGAGAAAGACGAACGTTGGGGCAAAGGAAAAGTGAACCAATGAATCTAGTGGTCAATAGTTGTTCGGGTTTGGTAAACGTTGTCGTAACACCTGAAGTAAGACAGAAGAGAGAAGACTAATTGTGGTGTTCACGGACCAATTTACGGCGTCTCCAACGTTCGTCAAGCAAGCCATGTGGGTTGGTCGACATCTTCTTCGACTAATGGTGGCTCAATCCCAAAGCATTCCGAGTATCGAATTTCGAAAAATATTGATATTTTATAAGCAAATTACAAAATTAATGTTTATTTATTTGCAATTTAGGCCAAATTTTAGCGAAAGAGTTTCAACTCAACGTCATTTTCATTTAGCTACGCCAGTTGGTCCCATTGGCAGTCTGAGAAGAAAGGACGCAACGCGAAACTTCATCTTTCATCTTCCCGCGTAAGGAAAATGTCAAATTCGAGATATCGCAAACGGAGGAGTCTAGTCAAGCACGGAAAATTCAAGGTTACTTCCGATTCTACTCTTCTCTTCTCTTTTAAGAACCAAATCCCTCACGAATCGGTCCTGTTCTTCAATCCTTCGTCTTCTCCACTATCGCTAATCCTCTGTAAAATCCTCACTCTCGGAACCCTAGCCAAGGAGAAATGATCGAAATAGCTCTGTTATGCCAGCAAGTATCTGCGATTCTATTCATCTTAATGGCTGATTGTGAAAATTACGAATCGCAATCTGAGTTATGTTAGTAACTTTCAAATCCCTCACGAATCGGTCCATTTCTAATCTATTTGTTCTTCAATCCTTCATCTTCTCTCGAGCTAATCGCCTGTAAAATCCTCACTCTCGGAACCCTAGCCAAGGAGAAATGATCGAAATAGCTCTCTTATGCCAGTAAGTATCTGCGATTCTACTGATTTTAATGGCTGATTATAAAGTTACGAATCGCAAATCTGAGTTGTGTTAGTAACTTTTGTTTCTATCAGATCCGATTGGATGTTCTCCCCACCAGATTCGTCGTTTACTAGCCCCGAAAAGGCATTCAATTCCATGATTATTCTCTGTAAGTATTTCTAAATTTTTTTACTTGTTCGTCAGTAATTTCAGGTTTATCATGCGCGGAATGATTTTTTGAGTTCTGAAAATCGAATGAACCGTTTCGTTTGAGATTAGTATATAATTTTTAAAAAAGGTTTGTGTAACTATGCTTCTTATATCCGCGAGTGGGAATGGGATTGGAGGATGGGTTTGGGACCTTTTCTTTTTTCTTTCATTTTTAATATATATATATTTTTAAATAATTTATTCAGTTTCTAATAACTTTTTAATAGAGAAATTTCATTTTCTTATATAATATCTCTATTATAATAAATTTAATAATATTTTATATATCTAAGTATGCTATATTGTTGAACATAATTTCTCAATTCCTCAATTTAATATTATAATACAATATCTGCATGCTTTTATATATATATATATATGAGACATATGGATTTATACAAGAATAAAGACGAGAAATATAATCTTGTTCAGAATTTCGGAGTAAAAATTTCTTTTCACTATTTCTCTTACTTTCCGTTTATGTGTATTTAAAACTGGCAACAAAATTTAAAAACTCCACAAAATACTTTAAAACTCTATGGTGGGTCTCAACGAGGTTAGAAACTTTTAAAAGTTTAATTTTTAATTTTTAATTTGTTTTAAAATAACTCTCATGTCAACTGAAAAATCGGTTGTATTCGAAAAGGAAACAAATTTACGAGATAGCGTTTTGGTTGAAACGAATGTTGTACGTGTATATATATATGTGTGTGTATAGCAAAAGATTGATTTGTTTAGATAGGTCGGTTGATTGTTATATGATTTTCAGATGTGGTGGGGTCGGTGGTTTCGTTGTTGGTTTTTGGAGTGATTGGCATATGTCTATACAAGTTTGTCAAGAAAGCTACACCAGACGTTGTAAGAGAATTAAGGAACATAACTGTAGCTCCTCCTCTTGCACCTGCACCTCATGTGTCTCTTCCTCCCCCTGTTATCTGGGAAGCCGATGCACCAACAATGGAGAAGTTCTTCAGAGAGATAGCCGAAGAAAAACCGGTCAGATTCACCGCTCCAGACCTCTATTCCTTCACAAGCAACTACTCCACTCGCCTCGGCTCCGGTGGCTTCGGAGAGGTTTACAAAGGCCAGTTCCCGAACGGCGTCAACATCGCCGTGAAGGTCCTTAAGAAAAGCTCAGACAAAAGAGCTGAAGAACAGTTCATGGCTGAGGTTGGTTCCATTTGCAGAACTTATCATATCAATTTGGTTAGGCTTTATGGGTTTTGTTATGACCATTTCATGAGTGCGCTTGTTTTTGAGTATCTGGAAAATGGGTCATTGGATAAGTACTTATTTGACAGAAAACAAGCCATGGAATGGGAGAAATTGCATGATATAGCCATTGGGACTGCAAGAGGGCTTGCTTATTTGCATGAGGAATGTCAACAAAGAATCATTCATTATGACATTAAGCCAGCCAATATTCTTCTTGATTCCAACTTTTTCCCCAAAGTTGGTGATTTTGGGCTTGCCAAGCTTTGCAATAGGGACAACACTCACGTGTCGATGAGCGGCTTTCGAGGTACTTTTGGATACTCGGCGCCAGAGTTTTTCCTCACGAACTACCGCGTGTCGCATAAGTGCGATGTTTATAGCTTTGGAATTGTGTTGTTTGAGATCGTTGGAAGGAAGAGGAATGCTGGGGTGACTGATTCTGGGAATCCTGATTGGTTTCCGGAGAAGGTGTGGGATGCTTTTGAAAAGGGCGTGTTGGATGAGTTGGTTGTTGGGTGTGGGATTGGCGAGGGGGATAGGGAGAAGGCGAGCCGGGCGTGCGTGGTGGCTCTGTGGTGCGTGCAGGACGCGCCGGATGAGCGGCCGCGGATGAGTGCGGTGGTGAAGATGTTGGAGGGAGGAGTGGATATTGTGGCGCCGCCTAAGCCTTTTCAGTATTTGAATCCAATGCGAATGGGGAGCACTAGTGGTTCTTCAGGCAGCTCAGAACAAACCAAGTCTGGTAGTTCACAGAACTCCACGGCTACGGACACCAATTCTCGATGGTATCGGAACACTACGACAATCATGAGGAAATATGAAATACAAATGGCTTCTTCTTGATCTCATGGGCTCTGATTAAGGAGCCACAGCGCCTGTGTTTGGGGTGCAATGCCTTCTGAAATGCTCAAATATTTGCGTATAAATTTTCTTACTTTCTTTTTCGGTACATATTCAATTGATTGGATGTACTTATGTAACAATACGTATCGTTTTGGTCCGTTGCTTATGCCATTAGTATCGTGGTTTTAAATGTCACTATCCAGCCAATGTGAGATCTCATAATCTATTCCTTGGGGACGGACATGTTCGTTGACACACTAACGTCTTTATTGGCACATCTCTGGTGTTTGACTCTGATACCATATGTAATAGCTCAAGCTCCCTCTCCAACCAATGTAGGATCTCTGATGTTTGGCTCTAATACCATTTGTAACAGTCCAAGCCTCCTCTCCAACCAATGTTGGGTCTCACAATCTACCTTTTGGGGACCCAGCATCGTTGCTAGCACATCAACGGGCACACCCATTGTGTTTGGCTCTGATACCACTTGTAACAGTCCAAGCCCCTTTTTCAATCAATGTGAGATCTCACAATCCACCATTTTGAGAACCCAACGTCTTCGCTGACACACCGTCTCGCGTCTGGCTCTGATACCATTTGTACTTGCTCGAGTCCCTAGATATTGACTAATTTAACTTATTACGTATTGTCATCAACTTTACAATTTTAAAACGCTTCTTCTAAGGAGAAGTTTATATATATTTATAATAAATATTTTGTTATCCTCTCTAACTAATGCGATATTAATATAAAAATATAAAATCTTTCTTTAGAAACGTTTAAAGTTATGCAAATATTACCGTTGGAAGTAATCTACCAAATCACGACCATAGAGAAACATCAAATCTCAAAAGCCAAATACTGATTTACTACATAGCCCCTTATGGAAGTACAAAATCAAGATAGAAAAAAGGGTATTATTGTCTTTTCAGTGTTACAAAACGTCAATTTTCAATTTACCCCGGAGTGGGCTATTTCACCTTCCATAACTGGAAAATCTCTCTCGCCTGAGCAAACAAAGTATCTTCACTCTTAACTTCTTCCATGGCGTCCGTTCCTGCATATCGTGAAGCCGGAGGGTCAAGAACCGGCGGGAAAATTGTTCGAGCTAAGCGAGCTTGGAGTAGGAAGACTCCTTATGAACGTCCTGGACTTTCGAATTTGGGCCCTGGAGGAAACCCTAGTTGGATCTCCAGGTTCATTTTCTCGCCCACTCTCACCATTGCTTCCGGCGCCGGAAAGTTTCTCTCTTCTGTCTTCATTTCCGAGTCCTCCTCCTCCTCCTCCGACAGTGATTCAGGTTGGCTTACTTTGAACTGAATTTTTGTGTATGTTTTGTGAGAACTATGTGGATAGAGTAGCTTTTTTTTTTTACTAATGGTTAGGAGTGACTAATATGGTTGTGGTGCTTCGAAATGTAAGGTTGTTTTGAGGAAATGAGAAGTAGGTAGAACACTGAAGTTGGGGACGAGCTCAAGAAGGGCAAAATGTAGTTTGGAGTTTGAATGTGGATGGGAAATGGAGGAAGTACTAGAAAAGAAGTAAGCAACTCATGGTAAACTTTATGGTGTTTGCTGTTAAGTATATGCAGTAAGATGGTCAAGGAGGCTGAAATTGGGTGGTATGCTGTGGCATGGGTTCATGAAATTTTAGATTACAGTAATATTGATTCTCATTTAGGATGCCTAATTTACTTTCATGTACGTAGTTGGTCGATCTTTCTCGTGTGTTTGCAATATTACGACTTAGAATTCAAAAATTAACTTAAAAGTGTAACTCCAGGCTTCCAGCCTTAAGGTTACATTTGAAATGTGCTAGTTCTTCAAAAACTAGTTTTGAGCCCTGGGTTTCTATTTCAAGGTCATGTCATGATGTCTGCGGGAGTTTGATCCATCTTAGAACAAGAAGCAGCATTTTGGTTGTTTTAGTGAAAAGTTACAATCAAGAATCTATACACTCCGAGGGAGCTTATAAGAGTACACCCAATTAAAATCAATTACAACAAAAGAACAAGTACAAAATTCGTTAGGAAACCTTGTGAAGAGAAATGAAACTTTCTAGCGCCTCGACAATTGTAAGAGTTGGTGAGGAATTGAACTTGGATATTCAATTCGGGTTTCCTTTCCTTCAGAAAATTTGAACGTTCATCAAGATGTACTTAAGGAGTCTTTAAATACTAGCTTGCTTGGTTCAAACCATTTTTCCATTGAATTGTGGCCCATGGCATTGAGGTGTGTAAGAGAAAACAACATTGAAGCTGGCATTCTCAAGATTCTCAGACATGACCTTTCCAAATTGATTTATGGCCCTGAGGCTATCTCAAATCACTTTACTACATTAAATATGTTTTGAATATTGGTTTGGTCATTGTCATAGAACAAAATTGTATCATCATTGACATGAGAGTTGTATGTTTTTGGACTGAATTCATTTCTTGTAGGCATGGTCAGACTCCCTTCTTTTGGGTGACGTTTTTTTTTTTTAAATATGTCCTTGTATTCTTTCAATTATTCTCAATGAAAACATTGTTTCTTGTAAAAAAAAAAAAAAAAGTTCTCTGCTTCTAGTTTGCTTATATGTCTCTTTTAAAGATGTATTGCATCTTATTTAACAGAGGATGATGTCGAAGATGATGTTCATGATGACAATCGTGACTTCCAGGGAAATGGAGTGAAGAAGGTAAACAATCTAGATGTTAAATCATGTACTTGTTGAGGTGTTTTCTCATAAAATTTAAATTAGTTGGTTTGTCTCATTATCAGGCAATATAAGAAATATCTCAATATTTTTCTAGCAGACTTGCTAATTGGGTGTTGTAATTTCATGTTTTAATAACATCATTGTTATTTTAATTCTTTTTATGTTGAAAGAAATAATTTTCATAATTAAGTGATCTAGGATTGTACTAGAGTTGATGGTTTGAGGGTTCACTAGTGCTATGTGGGTATACAAATCAATAAAATATATTTATGGAAGATCTATTCTTGATTCAACATGTTATCCATATAAATAAATTATATGTGACAAAATCAAAGTGTAAAACAATGGATAATTTGGTATTTGATTTAAATAGACTACACCAGTGTGTCTGATTGATATTTTTATGTTGGAAGAGCGGGACAACAGAGATGGTCAATTCATTTAGGGACTTTCCTCCAGAGAAGAAAGATGGCAAGCGTCTAATTGAACAGCTTCTGATGCAGGAAACCTTCTCTAGGTATGACAATAATTTTTTGAGGAGTTCTGCTGGAACTTGTTCATTGTTCATTGTTCTGCTGGAACAATAATTTGGTCTAGACATTTCTTATGTAGTTCTCTATTAGTTAACTGGAAAAAGAGAATTTCCGTTTTGTTTTCTATGATTAACAATGCTCATCTTGGTTTTACTAGCTTGCTTGCTCTTTTATCTTGATGAATGCTATGGTTTCAGTTTATATAGACGCTGAAATAAGTTATTGTTCTCCTTCAAACTTAAATCCTTAATATGTTCAATGATTGATGTTCTCATGGTTAAATAGTTTAGTTCATGAGTGAAAAATGACAACAAATTGAGTTAGGTCACTAACACTTGGATGATAGCCTTCAATTATTTGTTACCAGTGCCTTCTTGTTCATCACTTTCATTCAAGCAGGGCAGAGCGTGACAAGTTATTTCAGATAATTGAATCAAGGGTTGTAGAATGTCAAAGCATTGAAGGAGAGGCTGCAGGGCGGCTGACTGAGCTTTCAAACAAAGCAGTTGATAGTGGTACTGATCTTTCAATTTCCAGTAAACCATAATTTTATCTTATGCAAATAATGAATCGTGTACAAATTGATACAGATGATGGCGGGTCTGCAGTCTGCAGCACAGCAATTCTTGAGGCGAAAGCATGGTTGAATGAAAAACGATTAGGATTGGGGTCTAGTTCGCCATTGGAATTGGATCATGGGCCATGCACCTTGAATTCCACGATGTTGCCAGTGGTTGGTGATTTTTTCTTTTGTTATTCTTGAATGGCATATGAATAATCACGTAATGGATCAACTTTTGTTTACATTACACTTACAGTTCAACATTCCCCTCAGTTCACTTGTCAAGTAACTCCATTTCTGAGCAAATGGTTTATTTGTACGCATGAACATCCTATCTGCCACATATAAATTTGATTATTTCTTGCTAATTGTTACGCTTTAGTGGTTTCTTACACTCCATATTATTCTCAATGATTTTGTTCTTCTTTAGAGTTGGTATGATAATACTATAATACTCTAATACAAAATTTAGAGTTGGTATGTGTCCTTATATAGGTTTTTCTTCTTGGAATATTGAAGTATATGCTGCTGCAGGTTAATGATGAAGAGACGGGTTCACTTGTAGATGTAGCCAAATCATACATGCGAGAACGCCCTCTATGGGCCTCTCCTTCTGCGAATAATTTTGAGTTTAAGTCTCCTTCACCATCAAGGTTACGGCTCTTCAAAGAAGAAACATCATTTTCAGTTAGTGGAAACCCACTTTCTTCATCTAAGGTACCATTTTATCCATTAAACTATAGTCACGATGCTTCTCCAAAACATTTTCCCCATCTTACAATTTTTTAGTATGATCGTCTTCCAAGTCACGACCCCCATATGAAAGTTTAATTGATAAATACTTTTGAGTTTCTCAATCTGTGATTCTGTTTGTTGACATTGGGGTGCAGATCAAAAGGGAATCTCCTGCCAGTGGATCATGGAACATCCAGGAGGAAATACGACGCGTGCGATCAAAAGCAACCGAGGAAATGCTAAGATCCCGCTCATCAGCCAAGCTTGATTGGTCTTCATTTGCTTCAGACTACAAAGGTAATTTGAGTTCTGCACGTTCAGACTATCCGAAAATTCACAGTGAAGATAAAACGCAACATGCTGTACAGTCGATAGATAAATCAATAAATTGGTCTGCAGACATTTCTGTCACTCATGACTTATCAGGTATGCATTTCTGCGAGTTGAACAATGTACTTACATTTGTAAAAGATAGTCCCTGAACATTGTGACCCTCATTTGCACCTCACAGAGTCAAAGATCACACAAGATATGCCAGAAAATGGAGCTTGCTTACTTGGCTCAGCCAGCATTATTCAACAACAGGATAAGGTAACAGACTCCCAAAAGGGCTTTGTTAGGCCTCCAATTGCAAATGTACATTATAGGAGGGGCAAATTGCAAAACCAGTTCGTTAAATTTTATACTTCGTATCTAGGGGAGGGGAT